TTTTGTAAGAATTTATCAGAGTACAGATAAAACACCCACTCGGCAGCCACTGCCCACAGATAGGCACTATTAAAATAAGACTACAAAGCCAAGCTCAGCAATGGCGTAATGGTTACGTCTCTGGACTCCCACATGGCTAACCACAGTTTGAGTCTCTGACCCAAGGCTTGAACCTTGTGGGCACATGTTCGTACGTGTGATGTGAACCCCAGAGAAGAGGACTCGGTGGCTTAAACTCACACCAGGCACATGTGTGTGCATGCCCAAGATCCCGAGAGGAGAATGGAGGAGAAGGGATTGCGGCGTGGTCATCCTCTCTGAGAGGTGATTTCTCACTTTCTGTCTCTCTGTCTCTCTGTCTCTCTGCCTCTCTCTGTCTGTCTGGCGAGCGCACGCACCCTATAGCAAAAACCTCTCCAAAAAAAACAAAAAAACAAAAAACAGAGAAGAATGAAGGAGATGGGATTGTGGCATGCCCATCATCCTGGGGGTGATCTCACACTTTCTGCCTCTCTATCTCTCTCTGTCTCTCTGGCAAGAATACACATCCTATAACAAAAAATCTCTTAAAAAAAAAAGACTACAGAAGCCATTAGTGTGGCGATTAAAGTGGCTGGATCCTACATGGCCAACTGAGCAGTTCAAGTCCTGACCTGTTGGTGGCTTGAGAAACACACCAGACATATGTACATACATGCCCAAAATCTGGGGATGAGCTTGGAGGAGAAGGGATTGAAGTGTGGTCATCCCTCCTTGGGGGTGCTATCTCACTTTGTCTCTCTCTTTCTTAGTCTCTCTCCGACAAGCATACGTGCCCTGTAACAAATTTAAAAAAAAAAAAAAGAAGACGACTATAGTAAGTCTTCCTTTCTCTATTGTTACCTAATTATCTTCACTTAGTTTTGCTTTGTTTTGTTTTGACTTTATTTCTTTCAATGAGCAAGAGACAGCCCCCCCACCCCCCGCAAACAGGGTCTTAGTGCCTCTATCCACCTCCAGCTCCAGTCAGCCCCAGCTCATGGGCACAAACATGCCCGTTTTACCCAGAGAGGTCTCCAGATGTGAACCTAGAACCTTCCCATATGAGTCAGCCTGGCAGAGCATCACATTTTGCTGCTGCACCACCATCTACACACTCTGCCACTTGCAGTTTATAAGCCCACCACAGGCTTACAAGCACATCACCATACATCTTGCTCCGTATGAGGATTCTACCTCCTTTTGAGCAGAGATTCCTAGCAGACTATTTGTACCAAAAGGCTGACGTGAGCCAGCACAGAAGTGCCAGGTATACACTGAATGCTTGGAGGATATAGCACCAGGCAAAGCCCTAGGGAAGGATTCAATGCAGAAAAAGCAGTGACCAGAGCCATGCTAAACCAGTTAACACACTTCAGTCTTGACCTTCGACCTAACCTGAGCTGGAATGAGACTCAACCTAGGCTAGTTAGGATCAGGAAGTGTCAGGCCAGATGCCGAAAGCCGACCTTTGAGCTGTTATTCACTACAGGTAACTACAGAACACGGGTATGAGGATGCAATGTAAGAGTTAGAATTCTTAGTCATGGGCTGCGGACAAGCAACAGAAACCAACCTAAGCCAAAAGGGACTTGACTGGCTTCAAGGTACAGTATTGGCCAGCCTAAAGGGCTCAAAGATGAAATGTAGAATCAGTTGCTTTCCACCCCTCGATTCAGACTTTCTTTCTTTCTTTCTTTTTTTATTTTTTTTTTTTTTGAAAGGTTTCTGCTACAGGGCGCGTGCACTCACCAGCAGAAAGAGAGACAGAAAGAGAGAAATCACCCCCCAGGGGGGACGGCCACGCCACAGTCCCTTCTCCTCCATTCTTCTCTACGGATCTTGGGCAGACGCATACACACGCCTGGCGTGAGTTTAAGCCACCAGGTCCGGGACTCAAACTGTGGTCGACTATATGGGAGTCCAGCGACATAGCCATTACGGTAACTGCTGGTCCCCAGACTTTCTTCATATCAGCATCATCTTCAGACAAACCCTCTCCAAGCAGTGGTGGTAATCATCGTCAGAAGCTCTGGGCTCACATCCTACTAGCTTAGCAGCCCCAGGCAGTTCTAGAAATTCCCAGGGCTACTTCCCACCAGTCCCTGTACAACCAGTATCCACGTTGGATAAGACCTGAGACCTGCCATGCATCCTCTCACTGCCCAGCCTCTGTCCTATGCCAACTTCACATTCAAGGAGGGGAAATCATCCCTACTCACATCACCTAGACTCAGACTTGAGGGTGGGGATTATTTTCCTAAAAAGCAAATGAAAACAGAGGGTCAAAAGCAACAGAAACAACCCCTCTCCACTATGCTGACTGTTCTGGCCCTGTTTGTGGATTCTAGAGTTACAACACTTGTTTTCACCCTCAAAGTCATTGAATTCTTTTTTTTCCCCCAAGAATTATTTAGTTAGTTGTATTTATTGTTATTATTATTTTTAATTTGCTATAGGGCACATGTGTTCACCAGAGAGAAACAGAGAGAGAGGGGAAGTGAGAAAGCAAACTGCCAAGTCCAAGACTCAAACTGCGGTCAGTCATGTGGAAGTCCAGCACTTTAACCCCCATAGCAGCTGTCAGCCCTAGTCATTGATTTTTTGTGTGTCGAAACTTAAATAAACAATTTAGTAAATAGTTTTTAAATAAATGCATGAATATGGTTGAGAATATGAAAAACAAACCATTGAAACATCCTACGGCATTTGGTGATATTATCAAATAAATGGAATAAATGCAAAGATGCAAAAATAGAGGAAGAGGGGGCCGGCAGGTTCACTTTCCCTCTCTCTCTCTTGCTCATTCTGTCCTTCTCTGGTCAAATGAAAATAAAATAAAATAAAATAAATAGAAGAAGAGATTAGAAGAAGCCATTGAGGTCAGGTGAGACCTGAACAGGGTTTTAAAGGAGGGGCAGGTATGGGGAGGGAGAGGGGTGCACCCAGCAGGGCCCAGCACTGAGATCAAACGAGCACCATCCCACCAGCTACCAAGACGAAACTTGCCAGGCTGAGCTTCACGTGCAAACAGACCAGTGGGAAACAGAGTGGGGTCAATGGTGAGTCCGAATGGACAGCAGAGAGCCAGGTCTCCATCCTGCAGACACTGGAGTGGGCAGGAAGGGGGAGTGGGCCTGGAAGGGAGAGAGGAAGGGTTCAGACTGGGACAGAGTAAGTCTGCAGTGTCAGCAGGCAGCATTTTTTTAGCAGGAAGAATGAGGCAGGAGAGTGATGATGACAGAGTTGCTTTGAAGAGATAAGCCTGCTGGAGACAGGGAGGGGAGTGGATGATTGGGATGAAGATGGGACTTCATTGGGAAGCTGGTGCCATGAAACAAGGTGCCATGTGAAGGGGGCCTGGACTCTACCCTTGCAGATACCCTTTTTCCAGTTCAATTTTAGAAGTCCATTCAACAACCCCTTCCCAGGACCAGCAGATGGAGTAATGGTTACGTTGTTGGACTCCCACATAGTCGACTGCAGTTCAAGTCCTGGACCCAGCGGCTTAACTCACGCCAGGTGTGTGTGCATGCATGTCCAAAATCCTGAGAGGAGAGTGAATGAGAAGGGATTGCAGCGTGGCCATTCCTCCTGGGGATTGATTTCTCGCTTCCCATCTGTCTGTCTTTGTCTTTCCAGCAAGCACATACACCTTATAGCAAAAACCTCTGAAAGAGAAAGAGAGAGAAAGAAAGAAAGAAAGAAAGAAAGAAAGAAAGAAAGAAAGAAAGAAAGAAAGAAAGAAAGAATCTCTTTCCCATTCCTCTTTCTCCTACTTCTTTCCTGAATCCAGTTCTTGAAAGCAAGTTAGATATTTAATTGCATCCAAGAAACTTATAAACTTGAGCAGGCTCCACTGAGAAAAGGTATAAAAGGTACCAAAAACAATGGCAAAAAATGACCAGGCCTTGCTCAGAGACACAGAAGTGATGGACGGAGATGGCACAGGGGCCCGAATGGACCACGGAAGACACAGCTCACTAGCCAACTCTTTTTATCTTTCTTTCTTTCTTTCTCTCTTTTTTTTTTTTTTTAAAGTTTTTGCTATAGGGCTCATGCTCTTGCCAGAGAGAGACAGAGTGAGAGAGAAAGTGAGAATTCCTGGGGGTATGGCCAGGCTGCAATCCCTTCCCCTCCAGGCTCCTCTCAGGATTTGAGGCACACATGCACACACACCCATAGTGATTTTCAAGCTGCTTGGGCCAGGACTCAAACCATGCAGTCGGCCTTGTGGGATCTAGCACCTTAACCTCCACGCTACCTGCTGGCCCCTAGCCAACTCTTTAAAACATTGTCCTGGGCCCAGCAAGTGGCGTGGTGGTTAAGGCACTGGACTTCTATGTAATCAACCACAGTTCAAGTCCCAGACATGGTGGCTTGTTTTCTCACTTTCCCTTTCTGTTTTTCTTTCTCTTTATGTCCCTTACTCCATCTCTCTCCGGTGAGCACACATACCTTATAGCAAATTTAAAAACAATAATAATAATTAACAAAGTTAAATAAATAATTCTTTAAAAAAAAAGATTCCCAGTAGAATTAAACACCTAGATTCTGCAAACTGATTGACTGAGATTGAATTCGCCATTTACCAACTGTCTTAACGATGGGCAAGTTATCGCTCTTTGCCTTAGTATTTCTCATGTGCAAAATGGAGTTAATCACTAAACTTCCCTCAGAGGTTTATTATCAAAATTAATTGTGTTAATAATAACTTTACAGGGACTGGCAGGTGGTGTGGTGGTTAAGGGTGCTGGACTCCAGCATGGCTGACTGTTGTTCGAGTCCTGGACCTGGTAGCTTGCTTTCTCACTTTCCCTCTCTCTCTCTCACTCTGTCACTCTAAATAAGCAAATAAATAAATAAAGTTAAATAAAAATAATTTAATAAAAATAATAATAACTTTACAGTGCCTGATTCAATCAGTGCTATTATCATTTTCATCAGGAAACAACACGAGCAGCGATGCTGGAAGAACTTACCTGGATTCCTCTCAAAGCTAAAACTTCCAGCCCAGAAGTCCTTTGAAGCCAGGGTTAAGCTTTCCCCACTGATCCTCCTGCTGAGCTGAGACTAACAAGCTCTAGTCTCTCCTCAAAGATACCAGCCGCTAGAGGGAGAATCGACTTCCAGAAACCACAGTCCTTTAACCCATGTCTTTCAAACTGCCGGGCTTGAAGCACATGAGTGGTTCAGATATCAATTTAGCAGGATCCAACTAGCAGGCTTTTTTTTTTTTTAAATAAATAGAATGGAATTTAAAATATCAGCATTCATTTCAGAAGGTACAGGTAGATATTGTTTCACGAAGTCCTTTGTTAGTTACATAATTACAAATGGGTGTGTGTCCTGGGTCCTAGTTTAAAATACATTTCTCACTGTGGGTCATGGTCAACCATCAGAAAGGTTTCAGAAATACTGCTTTAAAGATCATGAGGGAGAAAACTACCTAGTTTCTTTAATTCTCAGACAGACACCAACAGGTCACATTCAGGTGAGTCACTGTTCTATATTAAAGAAGAAAGACCCACAGGAGTGGAAGACTAGGTTTAAATACTCGCACTCCATATTGTTAGGAATTTGTGTTACTTCTCAGAGTCTCTTTCTCTGGTGTTCATCAAATTCAGGCACTTCTCAAGAACAGACTCGACCCTCCTTGTCCAGGATAAGTGACCAGCACAGCTCTCCTCCCAGGTGACAGCTCTCCTCCCAGGTGACAACTTTCACGCTCCTCTCTGTGGCTGAATCCTGAACTTCTCCCTTAGCTTTCAACTCCAGGCATGTAGTTCCAAATGATGGCTGCCCTTCTCTCCAAGCTGTCTCACCTGAAACTCAACTCGACAGCTTCCCTTTATGAAAAGAAAGGCAAAAACGATTCCTGCGTTCTTTCTCTCTGCCTTTCTGTCCTCTCAGTCACCCAGGAGAGAACACCCAGTTACAGGGAGCAGCAGATGGCATGGTGGCTAAGGCAGCTGGGTCCCACATGGCTAAATGTGCAGCTTGAGTCCTGGACTCAGCAGCTTGAAAAGCATACCGGGTGCATGTATGTGTGTGCCCAAATTCCTAAGAGGAAAATGGAGGGGAAGGGATTGCAGAATGGCCACCCCTACACACCTGCCCCTGGCAGGGGGTAGGGGTGATCTTTCATTTCATTCCCCCTCCCACCCCTGCCAACTCCAGCAAGTCCAAGCACCCTATAGCAAAAAAACTGAAATATAGACAGGAAGAAAAGGCAAAGAAAAGAAGAAAAGAAACTGTTACCATCAAGTCTTTCTCCATCTTTGCCAAGCCCTATGATTTCCATCTCCCTAGTGCCTTATCTAACCAACCAACTTTTCCCTCCCACTCCCATGTTCTAGATGCTTTATGTAGAATTTTTACTGGTTCTAGTCTCTCACCTTTCCATGGATCCTTCCTGCAGCCATTGGCTACTTTACTTAAACACAGATTAAGTCATGCCATTCATTTAGGGCATTCTGATTCTTTAAACATGCAAACACTCCCGCAAGGACAACCAATATAATACAAGTATGTAAGCATGGGCTTTAAGGCCCAGTCCAGGAATGACAAAGGATTCAATCTCATGCTGATCCCCATCGACTAGTGGTGGCTTCTTGAATAACTACATTAAGAAGTGTCCTGAGGCTTCATAGAAACTCAGTAGTGGGCACGGGAAAGTAAATCTCTCTTAGGCTCAAATCTGTTGATTTGCTTCTATCTACATACTCTTGCAACAGGCACTCAGCTGCAATAACTGCTTTATCATTACCTAAATATACTGTGTAGGGTTTTTTTAGTGTAATGGCTATGTCGCTGGACTCCCACGTAGTCGACCGTGGTTCGCGTCCCGGACCCGGTGGCTTAAAACTCATGCCGGGCGCGTGTGCGTGCGTGCCCAAGATCCCGAGAGGAGAATGGAGGAGAAGGGATTGCAGCGTGACCATCCCCCCGGGGGGTGATTTCTTGCTTTCTGTCTCTAATGTCTCTCTCTGTCTGTCTGGCGAGCGCACGTGCCCTATAGCGAAAATCTCTCCAAAAAAAAATATATATATACTGTGTAGTTCTTTTTTTTCAGGAGATCAGAAGTTAAGATTTATCAATGACTGTGATTAAGGAAGGGCAGCACAGTATAAACCCTCATGAGTGCAATCTCCACTTGTCTAGGGGACCACGATTGGGGATGTGTTTGACACCACAGCCATCTGGGATGAGGCGCTTCTCAGCCACCATGTCTCCAAATTCATCAGCATTGAATTTCGTAAAGCCCCACTTCTTTGAGATGTGGATCTTCTGTCAACCAGGGAACTTGACTCGGCCCTGCGGAGGGCCTCAACACATGCTCCTTGTTCTGCAGCTTGGTGCAGATGGACATGATGACCTGGCCAATGCGGACCCTGGCTACCGTGCCCTGGGGCTTCCCAAAGGCACCCCTCATACCTGTCTGGAGCCCAGATTGGAAATAGCACAAGGTCAGAAGCAGAAATATCCACTGGGAATTGCCAGAAGGCATGTGCACTTGCCTGAGAGACACAGAAGCCAGAATCAGAGGAAGAAAGTGCCTTCTAATGAGTCATAGTCTGTCATAATTCCTTCCAAGTCTCCATCCTATCAAGGTTTGGGGCACACACACACCCATGCCCAGCATGCTTTTCAAGCTGCCAGGGCCGAGGTTTGAACCATGGTTGGTCGTGTGGTATCTGACTCCTTTAACCATTAGGCTATGGGATCAGCTCAAATATACTACAGAATTCTACTAATCACAAAACCCATTTGACTTCATGATATTTTTTCTTTTATTATCTAGTCTGTTCTTGCCTCAACTTTCTCCTGGAATTATCTTGTTCCTTTAATACTCTACCTTCCAATACTCCACCTTCACACTTTATTGCTTATACCTCTGTTGAGCACGTATGAACCTCATTGGGGTTGTACATATCAGGCTGTCGGAAAAGTTATAACGAATTTTTTCTGTTTTTCTATGCAAAAATGCATCCTGACTTTTCCAATGACCCAATGTCACATACATATATCATGTCTTGTGTGTTCCTGCCTCTCTCATTGAACAATACACTATATGTAGGGAATGAACATATCCTATTCATCTTCCAGCCTCTAGATTTCAACCACTAACTTAAACATGGCAAGCATTCAATGGAAGTTTGTTTTTAATTTGGTAGAGGGCATTTGGGCTTGATGCAGAGACAAAAAGAGGGAAATGATACAGCACCCCACCCCACCCCCCACTAAGGGATATGTCACAATCCTATTTCCATTTTTCCTTTCAGAGTTTTGGGCACACACACACACAAGCCTAGCATTTTTCTCAAGCCGTTAGGTCTAGGACTCAAACTGCCCAGTCAGCCATGTGGGATCTATCCACCTTAACCGCCATGCCACCAGCTCACCCCAATTGAGGTTTATGGAATGAATAAACAATTTAACCAATATTCTGATGGCATGTTGACATGTGACTTTTCAAAAAAATTTTAAAAGCATAAAACATGTCACAAAGAATCTCTGGGAACTGAAACCATCTCAGAAGTAAAAATATTCTTATATAGATCTTGCTGTTGCTAGCAGTGAGCACAATTCACAAGACAGCAGCCCCCAAACTATGAGATAGGTGTTGGAACTGTGAATTCAAGAGAAGAATCTCTCAGGACAGCAATATACACTTGACACTCACAAATGGCTGCAAGCATGTCAGACAAGCGCTATGTATGCCCCTTTCAGCACTTGAGTCTCAGAGGACATGACTCGCCCAGCATCATGAGTACCCATAAGCAGAAAGAGACTCAAACCTCTGGCTCCTACTTAAAAATCTACTGTTCACACTGAGCTGAGCTCTTCCTGCTTCACCCCTGAACTTTTGGTAAATTTTATAATAATACAAAGAAAGGAATCTACTGCTTCTAGAAAATAATAGTAGTGCAGCTAGCAGGTGGCATGGTGGTTAAAGGCACTAGATTCCCACTTGGCTAACAATAGTTCAAGCCCTGGACTTGGTGGTCTGCTTTTTCACTTTCCCTGTCTCTCTCTGGTCAAGTTACTACTAATAATAGTAAATAAATAAATAAAGTTAAATAAAATAATTTCTTGGAGAGCTTTTTGCTACAGGGCGTGTGTGCTTACCAGAAAGACAGAGAGACAGAGAGAGAGACAGAAAGCGAGAAATCACCCTCCAGGGGAGATGGCCATGCCGCAATCCCATCTCCTCCATTCTCCTCTCAGGATCTTGGGCACGCACACACACATGCCCGGTGTGAGTTTAAACCACTGGTTCTGGGACTCGAACCGTAGTCGGCTACATAGGAGTCCGGTGACATAGCCATTATGCCAACTTCTAGTCCCCATAAATAAAATAATTCTTAAAAATAGTAAGTTAGAAAACTACTGCACTGCACCATACTGCGTGTTCCACAGAAGTCTCACCCTCAGGCCCTTCGTGCAGTCCCCTAAACCACTTAGTGCTCCCACACACTGCAGACTCCACCCTAAGGCTAGATGAAGATCCCTTTTGAAGAGAAATTTCAAACCACTTCCCCAAGAATCAGCAGCTCCTCTGGATGGCCGCTGGTTGTTTACAAATGACTCAAAGTCCTCCCTACCAACGTTCTCCAGTCATACCAGAAATTGGGAAACACTATTTGCAGTATCACGCGAGCTCCGACAACTGACAGAGGAGTCACGGGCCGGGGAGGGGGTGGTGGGGGTGGGGGGCCTTGTAGAAAAATAGATTTTTATTGTTGCTGTTCCTTGAATGCCTAAGAGGAAAAAGAGAAACGGAAGGTAGACGGTGACAGACTTGCTAATTTCCAAAGTAGGTGCCAAGTCTTGTCTCAGAGAAAGGACATCGCAGGCATTATGTTCTTCCAAGAAGTGTAATGCTTGGGATTTTTCACTTTCGAGCAGTGAAAAGCCAATAATCTGGGCCAAAATCTGAGAGAATGCAATGATTTCAGTGATTTGGGGGTTATCGTCTCTGTCTTTTCCCTCTGTGTCTGCGTGGTTCCTCAGACAAAGTGCGTTGGGAAAGTTCACGCGCAGTTCACAGAAGAGAACATTCTGTACTCCACACAACAGGCTGGGCTGCTCTCTGTAAAACAAGATCAACAGAAGGATTTCAGCCACCACGGCAGCGGCAG